AGGCATCTAGGGTTGCATTTGGAGTAGGCAAATGCATTCCAAATGAAATGCAAATGAACCCTAGATGCAACTTGGTGGCCAAGGATGGAATCTTTGGGTTTAGATTGGCTATATCTAGGTGCATGATAAGACCATGCAACCTTTGCCCTCCACTTGGGCCTAAGCCTTTCTAACACCAAAAATAGATCCAATGAACACCAAAAAAATGTGTCACCCTTCTAGTTAACACCCTAGCCCAAAATTAAAAACCCTAATCATCTAGAGCACCCCATAATACAAGGGTAAAAAGGGAAATACAAGGGAAAATAAATTCTAAGTCCTAAACACCCCAAAATACAAGGGTAAAATTGGAAATACAAGTAAAATAAATTTTATGATTAAAAAGAACTTAGGAGCTAAGGTCCAAAAGTGGCCTCACTAACCCATTCCTCTTGCCTCCTTTAATATATCACCTCTTGGTCTTCTCGGCCTTAGTGTTATTCCATCACATATATTATAGGTCATGAAGTAAAAATAACTAGTTTTTACCACTTCAAGTTGAAATTATTAACAATTAGGTATTAAGAATCTTTAAAAAAAGCTCTACAAATTTTAGGACTAAAGTAATTACCTACCACACTTCAATTAAGGAGTTGCACCCAAATAAGTGTGCTATATGAATTTCTATTCTAGTAGACATCAACATTTAGGACATCAATTAATCGAGACCTGACCAACATCCAAACTACTCAAAGAAATAAAAGGAATTTTGGGTGGATTAGGATGAGTTTTTGGATTAAATCAAGTATAAAAATAGCTTAAATCGATTTGTTATAGTTAGAATTGATCATAGAAACAGTATCCAATGAAAACTGTATCTAAGCAACTAACTCCTAAAAAGAAGATCGTAAATGATCCTTGATAATGTTGACATAATACATAGATAGCAATCCAATGAAGTCTGCAAATATTGAAAATAAAAAAGCCTATAAGGCACAACGACAACATTGAAAATATGTGTAACATTATTGCTTCTTAACCCTTCATGTTTTCATACATTATGTTATAATTATAATATCTTAAAATGCGATAATATTATTTAGTATTTATTGTGTAATTATTCTGTCACAAATTTTAATTTTGTGCTCGCTTCAAATTACTTTTACTTTTATGACTTGTTTACTTCAATATTGTATTCTTTTGTAATATCTAACGAGAAGATTATATTATCAAGTTGTCTTTCTTTTATCCTTTGACTACCTCCTCCGTTATCTTATTTTCATTGCCTCTGCTATTGCTGCCAACCCCCTTTCATGTTAAGTATGTTGCTGGTTGTTGGGTATTGGGCTCCTATCCTATGTGCAGAAAAGGCCCAAAATTGAGAAGTCCACTTGATGTCTCACTTAATTAAGTGGAGAGAGAGACTCAAGCATAAGAGTGAGAAAGAGGGAAAGTCAGAAGTCACTTAGAGCACCAGCACTTTGAGAGAGACGAAGAGAGAAAGTCATTCTCGTTTTTACACAGGGTTGCAACAGTAAAATTGGTACTGCAGATTCGTTCACCGTTGGATCGGGCTGAAAATTGGATAGCAGGTTCATGACATCCGGTTCTTCATTCTGACCGGTTGGATCGTTGAAAAGAGGTCTGAGTAGGGAGATATTCAGTTTGCATTGTAGCTATGTATTTGAAGTTTTTTCATCTTCTTTGTTCTCTATTTGTAAGCTTTATTGCTTTGTTGTTTGGCCGGGTGTTAGTACTATTTTGTGCAGTTGATTGAGACTCTCTTGTATTCTTTGTTGATTATAGTGGAGCTATTTCTTTGGTTTGGATGACTCGTGATTTTTGCCCTTGTTTTGAGAGGTTTTCCACGTTAAAAACCTTGGTGTCTTTGTGTGTGATTTTGGTGATTTATTATTGTTGTTCATTGGTTGTTGCTCCTCACAAATTCTTGCAAATTAGGGGAATTTATTTCCACTGCGATAACTGTTTAAGTTTGCTCTGTGTTGTTATTGTGTTGCTGTTTCCCGATCACTGGTCAGTCACAATCTATCCTTTCTGATAAATATTTGTTTGTATTTATCTTTATATTTATGTGGGTATTTACATATTTTTTAATATTCACGCATACTTGCATATATATGTAGATATTTATTTTTAAAAATAAATAATTTTTTAAAAATACTTTAATAATAATTTATATTTATTCTAATAATTTCTTTAAAAATAATAGTTTAACAAAGCTTAAAATTATTCAAATATTATACATAATTTTATTAATTAATATTCTTCAATTTAAATACTAAATTTAATTATTAAAATACTTTATTCACATGAGTTTTAAAAAAATTATTATGTAATTATGTAATTGAATATTAACAGGTATTTATAAGTACAAATACTATAATATTCGTACCTGTCTAATTAATACACGAGTATAGAAAAGATCTTTATTTATTATTTATACTCATTTATAATATTCATTTTCTATCGATATCTATAAGTATGAATTTTTTTTAACATTCCTACTTCAAGGTGACACTTCCATTTCTATTGTTCTGCAGCAGGTCGTAACTAGGGATAACAACGGGGCGGGTTGGGTAGGGTGTCATGATACCCGTCTCCGTCTCCACGATTCAAACCCATCCCCGTCCCCGTACTCGTCGAGTATATGATTTTCATCCCCATCCCCGCCCTCTCGGGTATCGGGTATACCCGTACCCGTACCCGTCATTTTTTTTATTTATAAAAAAATATGATATTTTGAAATTATTTTTTTATTATATTATAATTATAATTAGGTTATTTCTCTATCTCACATTATAATAAATAATCACACATAAAAAATATTAAAATTCTTTAATATAATTAAATTAAAAGTGGATATTAAATTAAAAATGGGAATGGGGACGGGGACGGGGCGGGTAAGTACATACCGTACCCGTACCCGTACCCGATTTAATATATCGGGTTTTATCCGTACCCGTACCCATATCCGTACCCGATCAAACTGAGTATTCCCCGTCAAAGTCAGAACAGGTTCAAATATTACTCGCGGGTACCCCTATTCGTAACACATTGTCACTTATTCTAGCAAAGTTTAGCCGGGTGATAATGGTCAAAACACCTAACATCACTTGATATTTGCCATACCAAAAAAGACTAATTGAAAGCCTCTACAGTCGAAAAGGATCACCAAAATGAAGGTGTTTGTTTGCCTTTGGTTTATCACTCGAAAATACTCATTCTATGAAATCACTTTACAAACTGAAATATACATCATCAACCTCATTACGCTTTATTCTGACTCCAAGAAAGCCATCAGCAAATGTCTTAGTTCCATCATTATGCCAATGCATGCCATCATGAGCATGAGGAACCTTCTTAATAGACACTAGAATGTTAATATTTTACATGCATTTCACTAATGAATTACGTGGTGGATGATTCCTTGGCTAAAATGAGTACACACCAATTTTCATCATTTTGTTCCATTAATATTTTAATCCGTGCAACGCATAAAATATTTAGTATATATAATTATAATTTATATAAATTATATATACAAATAAATATTATATTTGAATAGATAAATCATATTTAAAATTTATATAATTAAATATTCTTAAGAAAAAGTTATATTTTATTTATAATAAATAATTTATATTATAGGATAATATTATTTTTTATCTATTGATAATTTATTTTAAAAATAATAAAATTTATTTCATAAATAATTATGTTAAATAAAAATCAAATTAGATAAAAGTTAAAAAAATTCTTAAAAATCTTTTCATTGAAGAAAAAATATCTAAAATATTCTCATGCAAAATAGAGATTCCTATTGAATACATAAATGTTGAAGTGTTGATGTTGATAATTTATTTTAAAAATATTGAAATTTAATTAATAAATTATTATAATAAATAAAAATTAAATTAGATATGAAGTTGAAAGAATTCGTAAAAAACGCTCTCGCCGAAGAAAAATCCATAAAAGTATTATGTATAAGATAACCCATTTGTATTTTATATAGGAGTTGATTTATTGTTTTAAAGTATTAAAATTTAATTTATAAATAATTATGATAATAAAAAACTGAATTAGTTAAGAAATTAAGAAAATCTCTAAAATTTTTCACAAAAGAATTGCTAAAAGTACACTCAAGAAAGATAATTGTATTTAATATATTGGAGTTTACAACAACCTTCTTCTCCATTGTGATGCATTTTTTGTTGTTGATAGTTGTTGGGTGAATTTTATAAATCCAACTGTTAGATTGAAAGTTCTTTACTCTTAAATCATATATACAAAATTTTATATTAATCCAAGATGATTTGATACTTTATTTTTATAAAACAAAATTGACGTAATATATACATTTCAAAATATAAAAAAAATGAACATTTTGATTACTTTGAAATTATTGTTTAATTTTAATAAAATTTGATATACAAATATAAAGTGATATGAACTTTTTTAATACATCAAAATTTTGATGAATAAAATTAATATCAATTAAATATTTTAAAAATAAAATAAGCAGATTGTAAATAAATTATAATACTATATATTAAATTTTATAATAATTTAAGTAGTACAAATTTAATTAATATTAATATTATAATTGTTAATGAAATCAAGATATTTCATGTCTTTAAATTTTTAAAAAATATGTCTTTGTATCGCTATATTTATTTAAAAATATTTAAAAATTATTAATATTTATTACATCAGTAGTGTTATATTTAGTTTTTGAATTTCAAAGTTTCCAATTTTGAGTATTGAATTTATAAAAATAAATAATTTTTAATATTATTAAAAAAACTTAAAGATCATGAAAATGGGAAATTGTCCTTTGCTATCACACGTGGAAAAAAGATTGGGGGAAGAAGAGTTGAGTTTTTGCAACCGCCCATTGGTTGAAGGCGATTTTGAGATTCAACGAATGAAGCGAGGACACGTGATTACATGAGAAAGCACGTGATAAGGAAGTTATGTTTTGTACACGAAGCCATAACATTGTGTTCTCTCCCATATTTTTTACCATCCAAATCCAATTTCCCCTCTTTCCTTATATTTCTATTCCTATTATATCTTATTGCCTCCACCGTTTCTCAGGCTCTCTCAATTTTTTCTTAATTTGAGTGGCTGCAAAACCCACGTGTTCCCTCCTTCATTCTTTTTTGGTTTCCCCCTTTTTTGCTTAATAATCTCTTTCTTCATCCAATAACCGCATGGAGGTTTAGGGTTTTGATCCTCACAACCTCGCTTAAATTAAGGATATTGTTTTTTTCTTCTTCTTTTTTTCTTCTCAATAACTGCCATGTCTAGGAGGTGAGCTTCATCATCGTGCCTTTTCAATGCTTTATTTTTTTATTTGGGTTTTCAGTTTTGTGTCTGCAGTTTCTCCGGTTTCTGGAGATTATTGATTTTCATGCGTTTGTGTTGTTGTTGTTCTTATAATCTTGCTATGTGATCGTTGAACCCGAGGAAAAAAAATATTTTTGTCTTCCATCTGGTGTGTGTAATTCGTTGAGCAGAATTGAGAAAGGGAAAGGGTTGAAAGTTGCTACGTTTTTTTTTACCCTTTTCCGTTGTTTCATTCAGGGAGCTTTTGTTTGTGGAAACGCATTCAGGTTATAGTTTTTAACGTAAAATTCATTTGAGACATCTATTGTCATGACAGAAAATAGACCATTATTGGATTGAAGAGTGAAATTTGGCATTGCTATTTTGTTTGTAGATTGTAGTTGACACGTGATGGCAGGCTATAAACCATTATTGAATCGAAGCTTTTGTTTTCGTTTGTGGGGATATGGATAAAAGGTTATAATTTGGGAACTAGGACCTTGGTGTTTTATACTTAGGGCAAGTTTTGTGTGGGCTTGTTCTCTGTATGCTAGTTTGCTCTCTGATTTCTTATGCAACTTGAAGATTAATTTTGATGTTTGAAATTTTTTGAATCCTCTAGGGTTCTTTGTAAGTTCTTTGCTCATGGAGCCTGTCTGAAAGGGGAGCATTGCGAATTTTCTCACGACTGGAAAGATCCTCCAAATAATGTTGGTGATGCAAACTCTTATTTTCTGCAGACCCCACTCATCGATAGTTATGAATTTGCAATTCTCTGATCATTTCTTCTTGTCTTGTTATGACAGATATGCACGTTTTACCAGAAAGGAGTCTGTGCTTATGGTAGTCGCTGCAGATATGATCATGTCAAAGCTTCTCGAGAGACATCTTCCACTCCATCTTCTTCAGTAATCGAACACCAGACCCTGGTTTCAGATGCTGTGGCTTTTGGAGATACTAGAACTACATCGAATGGTGTTGCTGCAGCTGCTGAGTTTTCTCTTTCCAGGAGTCCTTACCTTCTTCCTAGTGAACCGGCTTGGAATCAAGAACCTGTTTGGAATCAAGAACCTGCTTGGAATCAAGAACCTGATTGGAATCAAGCATTTGAGTATAATGAACTTTTAGGGGAAGACAATGTTGGTCAATCCATAATCACTTCACCGTCTGAGCTTTCAATTTGTTCATTTGCTGCTGCTGGCAACTGTCCACGAGGGGATAAATGTCCTCATATTCATGGGGATTTATGTCCCACCTGTGGAAAACATTGTTTGCATCCTTTCCGACCTGAGGAAAGAGAAGAACATATGAAGAGTTGTGAAAATAAGCATAAGCATCTTGAGGCATTGAAACGAAGTCAAGAAATTGAATGCAGTGTTTGCCTGGAGCGTGTTCTGTCAAAGCCTACAGCAGCTGAACGGAAGTTTGGGCTGCTATCTGAATGTGATCATCCATTTTGCATATCCTGTATTAGGAATTGGCGTAGTAGTAACCCAACACTGGGAATGGATGTTAATAGCACATTGAGGGCTTGTCCTATCTGTCGCAAGCTATCATACTTTGTCATTCCTAGTGTCATTTGGTACTCAACAACCGAAGAAAAACAGGAAATCATTGACAACTACAAAGCAAAGCTCAAGTAATTTCTTTAACGCTTACAAAATCTTATGACTTCTTTTTTCTTTTTCTATCCAATTAATTCGTGATCTAATCACAAATAAAGTGTGGAGAGAATTAACTTTGGGTCACCATTGTATGCTTGCCTAATCTATGAGGGATGACGGTGCTGTTACATGACATCCAGTTCCTTTCCCCCTTCTCTATATTTCATTACAAGGAAAAAAATAGCTCAGCATAGTGGAATAGTGAATAATTATCTCTTTTTCTGATCTTCTTTTGGTAATTTAATGCCATTTGTAGGTCAATTGATTGCAAGCACTTTGACTTTGGGGACGGGAACTGCCCTTTTGGAACTAGTTGTTTCTACAAGGTAATTACGTTAATATAATTAGTCCTCTTTTTAACCCCCCACTCCCTGCCTGGGCCATTTTTCTTTTTTCCTGCTAAACACTTATGGTTATATTTTCTCCAGGCACATAGAAGATGTTTCTTTTGTAAACTCTTAGAATTCATTGCATTAGTAAATTATCTTCCATACTAAGTTTAAAGTGCGCACTAAATTTGGTATGCTAGTATAAGCCAATTTAGGTTGTCCCAATGACTTGAAATTTCTGTAAAATTAGCATTACAGCATTGAAAATAATGGCTACAAACATAAGTTTATTTAAAATTGCTGGCATATGGTTTCTATTCCCCTACCTTATGTTAAATTATGATGTCTAGATAGTGGTTTGGGGCTTTGAACTGTGTTAAAAGTGATGCTATGTTTTGAGGTATCTATTTGCAGAATTAACTGAAGATTGTTTTCTGTCATCTTTAATTGCAGCATGCATATCGAGATGGCCGTCTAGAGCAGGTAGTTTTGCGACATCTAGGGGCTGCAGATGGCAATACCGTAATTGCCAAAGACATCAGGTTTCTGGCCTTAACCTTTCCTATCTTCCTCTTTTTTTTTTTTTTTTTTTTTTTTTTTTTTTTTTTTTTTTTTCCATTTCACTAACTTAAAACATGAATTTCTCAGGTTGTCAGATTTCCTTTCTAACATGCATTTAAGATGAAGGGTGTTGTTCGTATGTTCCAGTAAGTGTCAACTTTTACTTAAATTGAGGGCAACATGTATATACTGATTAATGTATTTATACTAATATCTATACTTCTATACTTAATAAAGGAGATATCCACGTTTGGTGTACATATTCTTTTGGGCAATTTTGCCCCTATAATTACCAGTAAATTACTGTAAATATCTCCCATTATTTTAAGTAACCACCCACTATATTATTTCTTCTTTTTATTTTATTTTATTTTTAAAAAAAGAGAGGCGTGTAGTGCCTCTTTTCCCCAAGTAATAATAATATTTCTTTTGTATATTTGTTTCATTAAGCTGCTTTGGTTTCAAGAATTTTATTTTCCTGCCAGATACCCAAAGGGAGTTTGGAAGGAACTCCCCTGTTATTAAACCAACAAAAACACTTAAATGTGATTCTGGATGTTCTGGAGGCATGATTTACTTGTGTTTTGTGCTTAGTTTATTTATTGTTATTTCTATCTTTGAAGCCTCAAATATGATAGGTTTTTGGGGAGTATCACCATTATCTTGTTGATTAGCTGAGTCAAACTTTTGTGATATTTAACCAAGTTTGATGATCCCATAAGTGGAATTTATTTTATGGCTATTTGGAGGCCGTATCAGATTCATGGTTGTCAATCTCGAGTGACAACTCGTAATAGCTATCGGATTTACGAGATTGGTCAATCAGACTCATTTTTGAGCAATCTGCTCCCTCTGTTGCTAAAAGCAAAATCAGTCTTTTTTTAGTTTTTTATTTGTTATTTTAAGAACTTGTTTCTTGTGTGAAATTTTGCATGATTTTCTACTAAACATTGCTACTTTAATATTGTAATTTGCTATTTTACTTTAATATGGAGTTGAAATGTTGAGTTATTATGTTATTTATAAGTATTATAACATTTTTTATATTAAGTAAACTCTTACAAGTTTATGATTCGAGTTTATAGGTGTAAACTCTTGAGATTGGCAACCTTTATCACATTTAGTAGTCTAGTCCTATTATCTTTACATAAACATTTTCTTGTTTTAGAGTTATTCTGGGGTTAAAGCAATGAATCTGTTCAGCGTGCTTCTTCACAGCCTTTTGAATGTGAGGGTGCATATGTGCCTTTTAAATTTTTTAAAACAAAGTTTCTCCTTTTACATCTAGATGTATGATACAGGGAATAGGAGCCAGAGAAGAAACAAATTGACTGGTATTTGGATGTTATTGATTAAAGGATAATCACTATAGGAGTATAGGTGGAACGTAGAAGGAAGCACCACTTCTTTGGGGCATTTTCAACAATCTGTTAGGGCTTTCCAGGAAATGGGAAAAAAGGATATTAAAAAGCTTTTGAACTTTGGCCTCAAATGATCAATGAAAGAGAAATTAAAATGATGGTTTAAAATCGGGGATGCTTATGTAGGATATAGTCCTAATTATTTCACTTTCCGGCCTTGGGTACTGCCATCAATGATTATTTCTTACAGAAGTGCAAAGCAAAGAAAACACTTCCCATCTGTTCCCTTCTTCCTTTAATTGGACTTTCTTTGTTTTTTTGGTTACACTAATCCTTTGGTTCCTATAGGTCTCACTCATATAGGAATTAGTTCCTATATGAAGAAAACATAAGTTTTAATCTCCACACACCCTTGTTAGTACCATTGGTCCCTGCTTTTACCAGGTTTCTTAAGTTTTAGTCCTAGAAACTTAAGTTTTAGATCCATATGCCCTTATAGGGATTAAAATTGTAAGTTTTTTTCTTTTACATAAGGGACTGTTTCCTAAACGAGTGTCACCTATAGGGACCAAATATTTAGTTTAATCATTTTTTTCACCTCATTTTTATTCCCAAAACATCGAGTCCTGATGCCTACTTTTTACTTCTAAGCATAGTTGTTTGAATAGAACTGTTGTTAAGCAGTGCCACTGTTTTTATTTGTTATCCCTAGTTGTATTAATTGATTCCTGTGTGTTATTTCTGCAGGATACTTGCTTAAAAATGGCATGCTTCAATGTCAAAAGTTATTTTTATATTGCAAGTCAAGCTCCTCTTCTTGTTTCTGTGATAGGTGCTTTTTCAGTAAACCATATCCACTTGATAACCCCAAAGTTTACTGAAATGTAAGTTTTGTTCTTGATTTGAGATTTATCTTTAAATTTGTCTAGTATATGAAGTTGATACCCACAAAGTATTAATTATTGCTGTCAGTCATTTTCTATAATGTATGCATATATACACATTATTTTCTTACTTCCACTGAGATTGTGTGTATGCAATATTGATCCTGTGGCCCCACCATAAAACGGAATCACATTTCCTGAGAACTATACATCCTTTTTTCCAGTCTTACTTTCGATCTGTTGCCATTTTCTCTCTAAATTTATCAATGTTATGTTGATAGCATTTGTTAAGAGATGTAATATAAAACCATTTTTTTTGGGGATTGTTTCTTGTCTTCTTGGCATGGGAATAGCACCCTCTTACAAAACCAGCCGCCCCCTCTTTCAGGTGGATGACATGATCATGCCTCCTGCATGGAAGTAGCCCCACTGATGCTTGGGAAACTCCCTTGAGCTTCCGCAGCATTATTTCTATACCTCCATGGGAATAGCATCCTCTTCATTTCTATTCTCTAATATTGCATGAAAGTCAATCAAAAACCCTTGGCCCTCCTCTTGCAACATTCTCTTGGTTGATTTTCTTGTTGAGGCAGCTGAACTGCGTAGTGTCAGTTCACCTCTGAACATTTTTCTTCTCTTGACCCACCTTAAACTTGATACTTAAGTTTTCAAAGTTGACCTTAATATTTTCAAGAGAAGTCAATCAATCTAATCCCAATACTAAACCAGCTCCCCCAAAACTGAACAAGTAAAAATCTTGTTTAATCTCCATCCCTTGCATTTCTAGCCTCACCTTTTCACACACACTAACACTTAAACTTATGACCATCTCCTACTTCAATAGATTAAGGAGTCTTCAATACTTGCAAGTCAAGCTCCTTCACAAAGGTGGTAGAAGTGAAATTATATGATGCTCCACAATCGATCAAGACAACCACCTTTCTTTCTTGAATCGCCCCTTAAACCTCAAGTGATCTCCTTGATGTCAGTCCTACAATGCTATGCATGGATATTTGAATTTCATTCTCTTCCTGTTGCAAATTGTTAGGCCTGGATGTTGATTGTGTTTGAAATTGGCTAGAATGCAGAAACACTTAAATCTCACACGTACCTTTAAAAATAAGTCTGTAGTGGGGTTTCTTTGCAGTTTGCACGTGTTTTATTTCCTAACATGGTCTGGTGTTTATTTATTTATTTTATTCGATTTAGGTTTTACTAACTTGCGGTTGTTTAGTTTTAAAATAAGCCCAACATGTGTCATTTATTCTCATGCCGCAACCTTTTAGCCACTCCACTCCATGATTCTCCAGCAACCCCTTTGTTTGCATATAGTTTAGGTTTTTATTTTCTTATTTTATATATATATATATATTTATATTATATTTGCATCACTATGTGACTTCTGCTATTTGCTAGTGACAGTATTTGCTGTATGATATAGCATATATTTAGCTTCTTATGATTTTTTGCGATCTGTGATTGACAACACTGAGCTTGATATTGGGTCCTTCTTCCTCTTCTATTACCCCCCAATAACATTATCTGAAATCGCTTGTTCTCACTTTTATGATTAGGCCCAAGATTTTCCACACTTGGAATATTCACCCTTTCTCAACTTCTAATGTAATTCACTCTCAAGCTGTTGTACCCTCCTGTTTTATTTTTATCTCCAGCATTACCATTACATTTACTTTTAATACTATTCACCCCTTTTCAACTTCCCTTATAATTCAGCCTCTGTAAATCTTGTAAACCCTCCCTTTTTTATTTTATCTCCAGTATTACCATTACATATACTCTTAAATACTACTGTTGAAAATCAGCAAAGGATATTTTCATTTATTATAGCATAGAATAGGGAAAATATCTCATAATTAAGGGAAACAAAATATTGTCTATTCGCGTCTATCTCATGTATTTTTCCTATAATAAACTTTTGCTGTGTAGTTGAGGCATACAGTTTCAGCTTATTATGTCTCTATTTTTCATCTCCTTCAACAACTACTATTCACCTCATTGCCTTTCCCTCCTATTTTGGAAATGGAACCAATTGAAAATGATTTGGCTCTTGAAATTTGTTTGGAAAAATTTCTAGATCTTCTTACAACACTTGCTCGTTGTTGAAAGAGAGAAAAACATATTCAAGAGACATTGAAACCATGTATTTTGACTACACAATGGAGTTTGTTTTAGATTGACTTAATATAATACATACAAATAAGTATAGGAGATAATGTTGTTGTTTACATGATTCAATAGGCCTATAATTAGAAAGCTCCTAATTAAATAAGGAAACAAATAAAGTTAAAATAAAGACTAACAAAACATCTAGATACTCTAAACTAGTCTAAGATATAAAAAGATATTATCAAATATTTCTCATATTTTCTAACACTTCCCCTTAAGCTAAAGCTTACTAACCTTTCAACTTGTTGCAAGAAAACAATTCATTTCCTTGCAAATAAAGAACAAATAGAAAGCAGAAAAATTGAGCTCTGTTGAGTTTAATGTATTTTATAAGTGTAATTATTACTTTCTTTCTTTTTGAGACATCCTTCCACTGATGTTGGTGGCTGTATCAGGGATTAGATTGCCATCTCTCCCCTTCTGTCTTATCTTGTACTTTCTAGACACACACATGTATAAAAGTTTTGGAGCTAAGTGTATCACATACACAGCCTTTCTCTCATATTTCTTTAGTTTCTTCAACTTGGTACTAGAGTGGGTTCGACCTGCTCTGCCTATCATCATCCACCGCCGCTGTCCACATCTCCGATCATCGCTCGTTTTCTCTAACCGTCGTCTGCCACTGGCCATTTTTCGCGAACCCTAGGGGTTGGTGTGCCTTGTCAAAGGCAACCCAACCCAAGTGGTCACAGAGGCAAAAGCCTTTTCACATCTTCTCACGCGCTACATCTTTGGGCTGCTATACCAGGCGCGCACTGTTCACATACCGATCTCCAGCCATCGAAAAAGGCCACACCACCAGCAGTTCTTTGTTGGCACCTTTTGGGTCTGTTTCAAAGTTCTCCTTGTTGTTTTCTTGTCTATTTGGAGAGTGAGCTTGTTTCTTTCTTTCTTTTGGGCCCTTTTTCACCTATTACAACAACATGACCAGCTCTGGCCCTACTTTTTCCATTTTTGGAACCCCCACAATAACCTCAGAGAAACTTAATGGCAAAAACTACTTGTCTTGGTCTGCCTATGTGGAGTTATGGTTTCTCGGTCAGCGATATCATTCATGACCATTTGGAGAAGGATATTCCTGAAATACCCTTTGAGAGTCAAGAACTGTGGAAAAAGCTTGATTTCCAATTGTGCGCTTTGCTGTGGCAGTCTATAGAGCCCAACATTTTAGGAACCTTGAGAACCTTCAAAACTTGTCATTCCATTTGGAAGAAAGCCCAAAATATATTTGCCAATGACATTCAATGTCTATATGATTCAGCTCACAAATTAGCATCCCTCAAACAAATTGATGATGACATGGTTTCTTTTGTTGCCTAAGCACAATCAGCAATTGAGGAGCTGAAAATGTTTTTAGAAGCTGATTCTGTGGAAGAGATGAAGTAGAAACTTGATAAGTTGTGTATGGTGTTGATTCTGCGTGCCATGAACTCTAATTTTAATCATATTCGTGATCAAATTTTGACAGATCAAGAAACCCCTTCAATGGAGAATCTTGTAATGCGTCTTCTTCGTATTCCAAGTTCGAAAAATAATGGAAGTTTGGCTGAACCTACCAAATCTTCAGCAATGGTTTCTACCCGAGGAAGAGGAGGTTGTGGAAATCGTGGAGGACGTGGTGGCAGGATTGGTCGCCCCAATGCTCATATTGTAAAAGAATGGGTCATATTGTGACAACCAGGCAGCTCTCCATATTGCTTCCAACCCCGTGTTCCATGAAAGAACTAAACATATAGAAATTGATTGTCACTTTGTTCGGCAAAAGCTGTTATCCAAGGAGATTAGTACTGAATTCACCAGTTCAAATGATCAACTAGCAGGTATTCTTACTAAGTCTTTGAGAGGGCCTCAGATCAAGTTCATATGTTCCAAGCTTGGAGCATATGATTTATATGCTCTAGCTTGAGGGGGAGTGTTGAGTTTAATTTATTTTATAAGTGTAATTATTACTTTCTTTCTTTTTGAGACATCCTTTCACTGATGTTGGTGGCTATATCAGGGATCAGACTGCCATCTCTCCCCTTCTGTCTTATCTTGTACTTTCTAGACACATATATAAAAAGTTTTGGAGCTAAGTGTATCACATACACTTCAGCCTTTCTCTCATATTTCTTCAGTTTCTTCAACTAGCTCCACCAAAAATAATATCTGGAAAGGCAACTCAGGGATGTAGAAGAAGCCGAAGTGAATTGCTAGAAAGACAATAGCTGGAATGGTCATTAGCCTAAAAAGTTTCTTGGTAAGCAATCAGGCAAAGCAAGGTTCATGCTAGTTTGAAACCACATTTGGAAGCTTCAAACTAATAATATTGGAGAGTCATAATAGGTAAACTTGAAACTAAGTTTGACAACTACTTCTATGATAGAGACAAGGCTAGTGCTAGTACATTTGGGACTTAGATGAGACCAGCCCGTTTGGACAAAGATTGGCCAATACATCTAGGTCAAAAGGTCAATGCCTTGGACGAAGCAACTTGAGCTGAGAGAACGGGTTTCCAAACTGATTGTCATGATAACATTCCAACAATGCACGATTGAAAGTGGCCCAAGCCAAGTGAGAATCGGAATCACTCAAGACCTTGAACCAATGCCATGTCATCCTGTCCATGGAGATCTGAGCAAGTTGGATTTGCATCTCTAGTGGGCTATTCCGAACTGCAAAGTAGGTTTCAGCCTTAACGAGCTAGCCGACGGGTTCATTGCCTTTGAACAAAGGGAGTTCTAGACATTTGGACAATAGACAATACTCATCGGGGGTAGAAGAGCTTGTTGGGGAGGAAGTGGGATTTTCGGTAGAGGAAATTGCAGCATTGTCTCATGCATCACGGGGCACATTGCGGCCACAGATTTAGACAACACAATAACACTTGTAAGAAGAGAGCTCAATTGGGTTGATTGCTCTTTCAAGAGCTGATCATGGGATTTAATGGTGGATTTGATGGAAGCTATTTTGGACTTGGCATTGTCGATGCGTGACATCATTCTTGTTTGCATATGCTGTGTGGAAAAATTAACTCTCAATGAAAGCACCAATAATATAAACTGTATCAAAGGTGCTTTCAAAACACAAGGAAATAATAGAGAAAGAAAAATAGTTAATGGAATGAGAGCCAAATCTCCCCCAAGTCAGAGAAAGGTTCTCTTGACTCCAAATTCTATTTCCAAGACCGACATAATCCCCCCACAAACAATTCCCCAATCCCAATATAACAGAATCACATAGCACTACTTCTCTCTCTGTAACTAACTCCACCAAAAGATAATATTAGGCTCCATATTGTTTGGGCCTTCGGTGATATGTCTTGAAAAGCTTATCCCACTTAAAAGACGAAGACTGACATTTGAAAGGAGGCAAGCACATGGCATGTTGTCAAAAAAGTTGTCATTGGCAAACACAACAGTAGTTGGAGATTTGGCCTAAATAGTGAGTAGGCATGAGGCTGGCTGGAGTGGTAAACTGGAAGATGGCAACATGATGATAGGAAGTGGTGACAATCATGTTGGAGAAGACCCATAGCAACAGAGGTGACTAGTTGGAATTTCAAATTTTTGGGAACCCGACGCAAAATAGTTAAGAGACATGTCATGGAGGATGATAATGCTTTTATAGCTTTTATACCTTGTTGAAAGAGAGAAAAACAGATGCAAAGGATACTGAAACTGTCTGACTTAACTACAAAACAAAACAAAGTCTATTTTATATTGACTATATGCAATTCATATAAATATATAGGAGATAATATTTCCATTTAGATGATACAACAGGCCTATAATTACAAAGATATTATCAGTATAAATCCTAACAGATTATTTTGGATACTCTATAGTAGTGTTAAGGGGTAAAAAGATATTATCAGATATTTCTCACATTTTCTTATACTCCACTGAATCATTACCTGGTTCTTTGTTTCCACCAATTGAGCCTTCCTTATCATAGCTGATAATGATTGACGCTTATATAAAATCTCAGTCCCAATATCCTCCTTTAACTGGTTCAAGAAGACTTTCATCAAGAATTCTTCATCAAGCCCTTTAACTGCTCCTCCATTCTTTTCAAATCCCCCAATAAACTCCCAAGACTGACCTTGTCTATTTCAGCCTCAGTAATGCCTGCAATAGGGCTTTTGGCCATCGTTGGTTGGAACCTTTCAACCACTTCCATCTTGAAAGTCTCCCAAGGAGAGTGGGTTCCCATTCAAGAGCAGCCATTACAGCCTACAGAAATATCTTTCAAGCTTCTGAATCCAGCCATGAGCATCTTCTCTTGAAAATAGAGACCTATCCAATTTTCTCCACTTCTCTTGTCAATTGTTCCTTGGACTAGTCCACTCTCGATTTGTCTCATCCTGTTCTTGCATAATCAGATTTGAGCAGGTTTTCCCATGGATTAGGTTTCGTGATGGAATCTCTGAATAATGCTCTCCATCAAAGCCTCTAATAGCTTGAATTGTGTGGGCTTTGAATCACTGCTTCAAAATTCTCATATCTTGGTCACAACCCCTGTTCAGAGACTCCATTGATCTCTCCTATGAGTCGATCGTACCATCCTTTTCCCTTCCATGTGCAACACGCACAAATCCTAAAATTGAATTTCTGATTCCAGTTGATAGAACTATCAATTGGTACAATTAGAGAGAAAAGATTGAAAAATAGCACAAGAACTTGATTTCCCTGATCTGTCCCAATGTAGAATCAGACCCGTGAACATACAGTACGCTATAATACTGCCTGAGTAATTTGAGTGTCTCAGCCCAATGATAGGAATAGACTTTCTTTTATTAGGTGGGCCTATGCGTTTTACATGCTTCATGTCCAAAGAACTCGTGTTACGGAGTGTGTTAGAGGTGTAATATAAACTGGAATAAAAAGCGATATGAATGTGGATTCATTTAAGAAAGTATGTAGACTGGTTCCTTATAACAGAAGTAGACCACTTGAGTTCCTGACAATAGAAAAAGTAAAAAAGCCTTGGATGGTTTGAGAGACCTGTCCCTTGCCTAACAAAATACTTAATAATTTCCTACCTCTGATTTCCACCTTTCCCTTGTATTTACGTGACATCTAACTTGACCCCCTTTTGTTCCATCACCCTGTACCTTTTATGTGTATGTAAGATTTGTTTTAAGTGGGGTTCAATTTTTTTGTGTTGACTAGTAAATAGTAACATAAGAAAGAAAGGTTGTGAGTATGCCCTCAGGTTAGCTGTTCCCTCTTTTCTATAAACATCAAGTTATGGTGTTTTCTCACGAACCCTTTACCTTTTACTTTGGTACAATTGGTTTCTTGTCCAAGTTGTAGTGTATCGTAAACTGTTTGCTAACAATAGTTTCTTGATTTTCTTTTAATCAAAATTTCAGAGGCACCAGAGAAAGAAGCTGCACTGTGCGTTCTGTCTTTGTAATAAAGTGCATGTGTAAAATGGTAGATGGACATGCTACGAGGGTATAAACTTAAATAAGTTCATTTTTAAAGCATATAAATCCAAATATGGATTGATGGTGGTATACTCTATTAGAAGCATGGTGGAATGCACTGTTAGCCATCAGTGAAACTTTTAGAAGCATTTCTTTTGTCTGGTGGATTTCAAAGTTATATACAAAAATTGATTGGGGTGATGAAGTTTTCCTGTTTCCATTATTGAGATCTCAAGGTATAACTTTTTATTGTATACTGGATTTCCTTGCCGTGGATAGCACTACACGAAGAGTCTTAGGAAAGGGTTCAACATATGTATCGGTTGTTATTTTTTTATAGGATTTTGTCAGGGCCCCTTGGGCTTATACTGGTAACCTGTTTCCTTTTTGATGAATATACCAGTACAATCTAAGTTTCACCTAGTGAATGAATATACATAACCCTTTTAATAGCTAGTGAATTTTCTTTCAATTTAATAGACCAGTTTGTTTAACGGGAAATTTTGTTATTTAGTATTACGTAAGTTAAATTATGTCCTCATTTCAATTGCAATAGTATTAAATCAAATTTAGAAGAAATATTAATTTATTCCGAACTAATTAATTAAACCCCCCCAAATTAGAAATAAAAGCCCAAAAAAAGTATTGTTACATTTTACATGCTTCTCTTTTTTGTTATGGTTAAGTTTTTATAAAATGAGCAAATTTTAATTTTTGGTCATTATTCTTTGGGTTTCACTCATACAATATTCGAGGTCATTGTTTTATATTCTTATTATCATGTTAAATGCATTTAATTAATCGAATATCAATTATCATCCTATGTAAAAATGCTAGTATGTTGTATTAACAAGCGACACTTAAAAAAAAATTGGAGACAAGATTAGATGTTTAAAAATTTAAAGGGATAAAATTCAAGTTTATTTTACATAGATAAAAAAATAATTATTTTAAATTTTGAAGGGATGGGAATGAAAGAAAATTTTAAATATACTAAATCAAAATTTATTTATTTTATAAGAACGAAAAATATATTTGTTTTTTTTAATATATTTAAGAGAATTAAACAACTTTTACTTTAAAATTAATGTTATCTTTACAAGTTTGTTGTGTGAAGTTTTACAATGTCAAGCAAATGTGCTAGAGCGAGTGTATGGATGGAGAAACGTTTTAACATGATTCTTGACTATTTAATTGGGATGCCTCATTAGGATTCAAATTTGTTTGACAAGTGACATCAACCGAAGAAAAGAGGATTTTGTGACATGTGCTTTTTAATATTTGATTTTAAGTGATTGAAAATGATTATATATATAAAAAAACAAGTTTTTGTTCTTGAAATCTTTAATAAAATAAACATGTATGATTTTTAACCAAAAACTATATTAGTCTCTTTACCTAAGTGATTTTTTGCTATCAACAATAGTTACAATAAATATTTTAATTTCTTCGAGCATACAATTTTTTTTTTCTTTTTTATCTTGACTAGTTACAAATTCAAGTATTATTTTTCACCAAGTCTTTTATAACTTTAACACAATTATTTTTGTACAAGATAACTCATTTTATAATGATGTAAAACTTGAGCACATTTTTTCAAAATTTTGCAGTGCAAAGTTATAAAAGTTGGAACATAGTTTAAGAGTGCATAGAGTTTGTAAAAAATATCATTTATAGTTAGGGATGACAAATTCATAAATCAGATAATTTCTTTTAGAAAAATAATGTATTAGATAAAAATAATTTATTAATCCACTAAAACTTCATATAAAAATTTAGTTTATTTAATTCATTTAAAACAAAAATTCATTCAATCCATCAATTGAAATTTTTTTATGAATGAATATTCAATCCACCCATAAAAGTAATATTTTAAAATTTAAATTATTTTTATTTTTAAGATATTTTATTTTTCTCTCTTTTCTTTATAAGTTATTACGTTATTATATATATATATATATATATATATATATATATATTTTTTTTTAAAAATTTATAAGATTTTTTTAATGTTGAAATAGTTTTCTAAAATCTCAATCTAATAAATGTTTTATATTGTAATCTAATGGATTTTGAAAAAGTAGTAGATAAATCACTAATCATCCAAAAAATTAAATGAATGGATTGAATGAATTTATTTGAAGATAAATAAGATAAATGATGAATAAATATTTTCATTATTGTCTCAAAATCTTCCTTATTCAGAAATAAGTACTTCACTTTTTGACATGGTAAAAGTTAAAAGTTCTTTTTGTATTTTTTCTTCTTTAATATGAAAGTTGACATATTATCATCGATAAATTGATTTGCTTTCATTATTCGAAAATACTATGAATAGAGTTTTTTTATTTATTATAAAATAAAATATTATTTTAGAAAAGACTTAGATAGTATATTAGATAAACACATTAAAACATTTTGCTAGACTTTTGAAGTCATTTTGATTTGAATGTTTTAATATCCATTTATCCAAGATAAATAAAAAGAAAAGCATGTTAAATATAGTTTTAAAAATTAAACTCATCATCAAATCAATTAGAAAAATGAACTAATAAGTCAGAAGTCGAAGTAATGAATTATTAATTGAATTGCATGAATCAATTTTTATTAATCATTTAATTTTTAATATGAAAATTTATATATATATATATATATATATATATATATATAT